ATATATATATATATATATAGATGCAGTTCACCTTTAATTCTATAGTCTTCACATAGCTATATACTTAATAAAAGAAATTATTAATGATATGAAATTTGCCATGCCTGTTTAAGTTTGAACCTATATATATATTCCCTAGTTTTTTTACGCAATTAATTAATATTCTTCTAACACCCCGAAAATGAAAAGACGTACGCAACCTAATTTGTGAGGCTCATTAATTAATAGGGTCACAGCACTATTCTCAGCGGCAAAAACGGTGTTAATCACCATTGATTCATGAACACCCCCAACTACCCATGATGTTCCCTAACTAAATCTATAATCTCATAGTATAGTATATTAAAAAAAAATTAGTGGATATGTGACAATGTATCAATTAATGCAGTTAAACCAAGGTTTCTATTATAAATATGCAAGCATGGGGCAAAAGTATCTCAAGCCTTCATACATTCACCTTTTCAGCTTTCATTTGTGTTTTCTCGATGGGAAAACCTTCCACTCAGCAATGCGCATTTTTGCGCTATGGTGTTCCCTTGTTGCTTGTGATCACCTTTTGTTATGCTACTTCTGCTGCAGCAACAACTGAAGTTTCAGGTTTGTGGTTTGTACTTTTTGATTCCTATAAATAAAGTTGATCAGTAATGATGAAGTTAGTGACTGATATATATTTTCACAAATTTATGATTTGTTTTGTAAATACACATAATATCTATTGTTATTAAGCGATCTAGTTTGGTTGATTCAACATGATGCTTGAGTTGTTGTTATGTATAATCTTCATTTCTTGTAAATACACATAATTTTCTCATGTGAATACTTGCTGAAATTTAGTTTCAGATTGAATGTTGGCATGCCTTATTAATACTGATGAAGTGTCTTAATTTAAATAATTTCTTTCTACAATTTCTTTTTCAATTTTAAAAGTATTTTAAATTTTATTCCTATGATTTTATCCAATATAAAATAGAATAATCCTCATTTACAATGAAATATCTAATATTATATTTGATTTAGTTTTTTTTAAAATAAACTTTACTTAAATGTAAAAATTACACATAAAATGCACACAAAAAACATTCTAGTCATGCTAGTTTTTATCCAATTAAAGGTTTTGTTTTCATCAATACAATATGAAATTAAAATTAATTAATTTATAAATAGTATGTGTGTGTTTATCTCACATTCTTTTGCTTTTGTTGATTATCTAGGGAACACACTGAGCACAAATGGGAAGCTGGTAAATGAAGAGCTGACAAAGACAAACCTAAATGGACATGATGAAGAAGAAAAATTCAAAGGACTTTTTCATCATAAACCATTTTTCAAGAAACCATTTCCAATTATTAAGCCAGTACCAAAACCATATCCCATTGTTAAGCCAATTCCAAAACCAATTCCTGTTGTTAAGCCAATTCCCATTGTAAAACCAATTCCCATTGTTAAGCCAATTCCAAAACCAATTCCCGTTGTTAAGCCAATTCCAAAACCAATTCCTGTTGTTAAGCCTATTCCAATTCCAGTGTATAAGCCTGTACCAAAGCCTGTTCCCATTGTTAAGCCTATTCCTATTCCTGTATACAAACATGTTCCCATTTATAAGCCAATTCCTGTTTTCAAGCCAGTACCAAAACCAGTTCCTATCATCAAACCTGTGCCAAAACCTATTCCATTTGTTAAACCTATTCCTAAACTTCCACTTCACCCCAAATTTGAGAAACCACATCTACCACATTTCCCACTTCATCATCACAAGCCAATCATTCATAAGCCAATTCCAACTCCATAAGATTATTGTTTAGAATATTTCTACATATTCTATAAACTATGATCACTACTGGAACGTTATCCATTGTATTTACAGTATAGCTACGCCTGTTCTAAGACAAAGCTGGCGTTTCTATAATCCTATATATCGTACTCAACTTCTGCATTGTATTAGAATATTTTGCTCAATAATGTTCTCTCTCAGCTTTGCCATTGTAAATCAATTCTACGTATTAATTATTCCAAGAATGGAAATTATTCTCTATTTTCGGTTTAAATACTATTAATATTTGTTTTTTTTTAATATTTTCTGTGACTCCATTTTAAGCAAGGCTACTCGTACAAATTAAAATTAATCCTACACAATTATGACACGATATATTGTAGGCTTTTTTATTTTAGCTCGCAGAAGTTTCTGTACTTAAAGTCTTTAAATTAATACCATTTATCATTATCGTTATTTAGTGAAATTGGGCTCTTTATTTTATTTTTCGTGAATTGTGTCTCCTTTGTATGTACAGCTTTAATATATCTGTTAAATTAACACTATGTATTTTATTGAAACGTTAATGTAACAGAAAAATATTGATGTGGATGCAAGATGTCACATTTCCATTTTAGTTAATATTAAATGTTAAGTTAAAATATGAATTAAAATTACAAGATTAAAATAGATCAAATTTGCGAAAAGAAAAAAATAGAAGAACTAAATTTGTAAATTGACCTAATAGAGAGACAGAAAGAAAATGCAATAAAGTTATTATAATAAAAATTATTGTTAAGAATGTTAAAGGTGAAAGTAAAAGAATTTAACCAACCCTAGCTCTTATTCTTTAACTAATCTAGATGTCCTCCAAGGAGGGTGCATGAATTTTGGAATCGAAATCTACACTCGTACGATCGATATATGCAATGAAATTAAGCCATATCTCGAATATGTAAATGGAATGTTTTTAGTCCAGTCTTGCAAAATAATACGAAATCAATGAAATCATCTGTTTGTAATTAGGTTTTTTTTTTTTTTTTTAAATACGCACATAATTATGTATATCACTGAAGTTTTTGACTAACTGTATGTTTCACATGGAAAATACCTCCCACCCAATATTAAATTCAACTTTGGTGAATATATCTATTCATAGAGATTTTTTGACAGTTGGTGTCAGAAGTATAATTCTTTTGATAAGTCTATTGATTTATAGTTTGACAAGTCTTTTAAATTAAAATAAATACTATTAAGTTTTAACAAATCATTAACTTAACAATTATTGGTTCTTTGTCTAATAACTTTTAAAGCGTCATCTTTTATCTACCATTTTTTAATTACCAAAAGAAAAATATGAGAAATACTTCGTCAGATGAATTATATTGTACGTATTTGACACTAAAATCGTAATGCAAGCGTGCTTGATTTAATTTCCATCATTTTGTTACTATTTTACATTTTTTTTACTTAACTTTTGTCCAATAAAATTATACAAACATGCATGCGACTTCATATTAAACTTGTAGGAAAAATCTTCATTCTAATTAGTTGATCTCCATTCGTAAACATGTTTAATAGATAGGGGGTATTTACGGTAAGATTTGGTTTGATTTTTATCTTAATATAATCACACAAAAAATTAAATATAATTTTTTTTAGTTTCAATTTAATGAAATACGAAATTTGAACCGAATTAATTCAAAACAATCTTTTGCAATTTAAGTTGGTTCAATTTTTGTAAAGTATCAAAATACTAAAATATTTTTGTCACTTAAACACCAATTCTTCTCTGATTATTTTAGTAAAAGTATTTCTTTGATATAAGTTTAGTTATCATATTAAATATTTTCTCATATATATAGTTTGTCACTTAAAAATAATTATTTTCAACTATTATAAATAATTCATAATTTTTCATTCTAAAAATCAATTTAGTAACTCACAATTTTCTAAAATATTTTTTAAATATTATAACATATATTTGGATAGAGAAATACTTGTTATATTATGTGTTAATTTTGTATACCTGCACAATGCATTTGGAAAAAAAATTACAAATAAATTGATAACTAATTAAGTGGATACTTGTGAATGTATGAGTAATTTTTTACCTATTTATATACGGAGTAGATATGGTAATATGCATATCGACAAATACCTACCGAATAAAATTACTTATATATCTATATGTTTGTCTTGCATTTTTTATATATTATTTTTTATATTTATGCAAAATTAACGTTAAATGTGAGTTCAAAAATAATTAATGTTGATTGTTTATCTTTAATATTTAAATATAATTAGTGTCAAATGCTTTCTTATAATTAGTGTACTATCCGTATCGTTAGGCCGAACTTGAGCTCGGCATAACAGCGTAGATTGACATCGGATGCGCACCACATGACATCGGTCAAGACAAAGACCCACTATCAGAATAGGTCATAACCGATCTCAGGCTCAAGACCCAAATAAACCCTAATTCACACTGAGGTACGTGCATTACTTATACGAGACCCCTACACTCACAAACACTAACTTTAGCATCAGAGTCTCTTTTGTAGGTACCACCCCCACTTCGGAACAGCGGACGTACCAGTAAAGGAGGCTCACCAATCTTGCCCAGCAGATCGTCCTCTACGGCAGATCTCCGGTAAGAACATTTGGCGCCCACCGTGGGGCCGATCAGGACATCTCTTATCGGCCATGCTTATGTTTTCACCCGAAGCCATAGTAGACGGGTAACAGACGACCTAGATCACGCAACAAGAATGGAAGGCGAAGCGACATTGAGGCGGCTGATCGAGCAGGTCGATCAAATGCGGCAACAACATGTTGTGGACCTGGAGGCGACCCATAGGTCTACGGCACCCCTCTGATCAGCCCCCTTCACCAAGCAATCAAAACGAGGAAGAGGGGCACTCGATTTCCCAACCACCGACTGCACCCAAGGCGGCGACCCATAGGTCTACGGTACACCGGTCACACGTACCGAAAAACAGGTCAGATCATGAAGTCAACAATGCACCTGCCCAGGCACCAGGGCACAGGGCGAGCATCCGCCGCCATCCTTTTGTTGACGACATTATGGAGACGCCCCTTCCCTTTTGATGGAAACCTCTCAACATCGACCGCTATGATGGCACCACCGACCCAGATGAGCAAGTCGATCTGTACGTCACGCAGGTAACACTAGTACAAAAATGACTTTTAAAATCGAGGTTTTAAAATCAGTCATAAGGTAGCCGATTTTAAAAGTGATGCGGTGGAAATTTTGTAAATAATGACATTACTTTTAAAATCGGCTACCTTATGACCGATTTTAAAAGTCTCTGATGCTACTTTTAAAATCGGCTCCTCAATAGCCGATTTTAAAAGTGCTACTTTTAAAATCGGCTCTCAAATAGCCAATTTTAAAAGTGCTACTTTTAAAATCGGTCATAAGGTAGCCGATTTTAAAAGTGACGCGGTGACAATTTTGTAAATAATGGCATTACTTTTAAAATCGGCTATCTTATGACCGATTTTAAAAGTAGCACTTTTAAAATCGGCTATTAAAGAGCCGATTTTAAAAGTAGCATCAGAAACTTAATTTACACTCTACGGTCATTCTCCCTTCCCCTCCATTCTGTCATCTTTGGCTCCATATATTCTTTAGATTAAGTCTACAAATATATTCTTCTCTTTATTTTGTTGGGCTCTCATCTAAAGTGTCCAGCTTCATATATTCTTCTTGGAAGGTAACATTCTCTTCTCATGTATGTTATTTCGTTGATGCTGGGCGACTTTTGAAATTGAAACGACCCGTTCTACAAGCAGAACAGGGCGTTTTGGGGCCGTTCCAGACTAAAGTTTTAAGTATTTTTTGGATTCCGGAATGGCCTGTTCCGGTTTAGGAATGGCCCATTCCAAAGTGGGTGCCTTTATAATTTCTTTTTTGACTCACCATTGCTTTATATAGACAAATTAGGTACCCAACTTAGAAAATTAGAGACCTTGTATGTATGTGTTATATATTTGTATTTTATTAATAATTTGTGATATAATTAATGTCTACCTAGTAATTTAGTGTTTAGAAAAATTAGGTGCTTTATTTGATTTTTATAAATTAATATGATGTTATATTTTTGCACATATTAAGTGAACCTTAGTTTCCCATTTGAAATTTAATATAAATGATTAAAATAGTGAGATTAACATTCATGGTCTATGTTTTTTTTTATGAAGAACAAAAGTTATGGATAAAAGTTGGTTATTGAATCGAAGTTGGATACATGCATCACGTATAAGTGATGAGTATGAGACTGGAGTAGAATATTTTATTGAATATGTAATACGAAATGCTAATGATGATATGAATGGAAGGTTTTTTTGTCCTTGTGTTAATTGTTGTAATGCAACTCGCCTAGAACTTGATGTTATAAGAGAACATCTTTTGTGTGATGGATTTCTTAAGAATTATACACGTTGGATATGGCATGGTGAAAGGTTGACATTCAAAGTGTATCAGTCGAAACTCAAACTCAAAGATTTACACAAGAGACAGATATGGATGATCGGTTAGAGGAGATGCTTCCTGATGTGGGTCCAGAATCATTCAAGCGCGCACATATGTATTAAACTATGTGCAACGATTTGGAGAAGCCGTTGTATCCAAACTGTACAAAATTCACAAGACTTTCAACGATATTAAGATTGTTCAATTTGAAGGCAAGAAATGGTTCAGATGATGGAACAAGTCCTAAATACCTTCCTTCAATGGCCTTATAAGTTGGTAAAAGTCCTATCCACGGAGGTAAGTTATTTAACTATTTAATTTTAACTTGGTGTTATTTTATTATAAAGTAGTATAACATTATTTGTGTACTTTATTTAATAGGATGTTGTTGTCCCACCAAAGGCTATGCTTAACCATTCTACAAATCTAACTCCGATAAAAAGGCTATGAAGATTGGTTGCGGATATGGAAGATGAAAATCAATCCAAACAGGTCCCTTGGGCTCCTGAAGTGTTTGGCTTCTGTAGTAATGTCCCCTTGTATATAAGCCAGAGCGACATATCAGAGATTACAAACGAGCACTGCATGCTGAACATATCAATTTTGCAATTGTGGTTATTGTAAGTATTATTTGAATTAATTTTAATTATGTTTTATTGCTTTTTTCTAACTTTATTTCTAACCTTGTAGATTTATCCATAAATTGAGTGTGGATAAAGGGAATGATCACATTTATGGATTTTTGGAACCCGAGTTAATCCAAAAAATTGGGAACAAGACAGAAGAAATTCAAGCTTACATCCAAAATTGGATGTCTGAATCAAATAAAAAAGTTTACTTAGTTCCTTACTTTTCTAAGTAAGTATATTTGTATATAATTGATTATAAATTTTTAAAAAATGTATTGTCTATTACTGATAGTTTCTCAATGCAGTGCTCATTGGCAACTTCTGATTATTTGTCCTATGGACAATATATCTGTATGCATTTGTTCGATGCACAAACCTCCTCCTGCAGATTTTAAACAATTATTAGATAAGTAAGTTGTTTTAAAAAAACTACTTTATTTTATTTATCATTACATTTTATTTTAAAATATAATAATGATGTCCTTTTATCATTAGGGCTATGGAAGGATACCATATGCTTAAAGGTTCAAAGTTGAAGAAAAAAATGCTTTGGGTCTCTCTTAAAGTAAGTTATTTTAGTAATGATATTTTTTCTAAGGTATTTTCTTTTGAATTACCATTACTACTAAAATTGGTTTTTATATTCTTTTTGTAGTCTCATAAGCAAAAAGGAAACTATGAGTGCGGATACTATGTAATGAAGGCAATGCATACTATTGTTGATTCACAAATAGTATCTGGGTGGACTGAAGTACGTTTTAGAATTTTAAAATTTTTTATTTTAAGTTTGCATTTTATCATGTTTTAAGAGTTACTTCTAATTGTTCTAAATTTTCTTAACAGATATTTATAGATCGATCACCATTGTCGCTAGAAGATATAAACACCATTAGGGAGCAATGGGCTACATTTTTCATTGAAACATTGGCTAGCTACGAGTTATGATTATAGTTTTACTCATTTTGTAGTTTAGGATGTACATAATTTGTAAGTTACTTTGATTACATATATGGTTGACATTTACCAACTTAGTTGACATTTACCAACTCTTATCATTTGTATGTAATTTGATCTATTAAAAATATATGAATTGTCTGGTATTTCATTAATTTACAGGTTTTGTTCAGGAATCCTCCTAAAATAAGTCAAATATTTTAAAAAAAATTAACCACTTTTAACATCGATCATGCCATAACCGATGTTAAAAGTTAGACTTTTAACATCGATCACGCATGAGCTGATTTTAAAAGTTAGACTTTTAAAATCGGCTCATGCATGACCGATGTTAAAAGCCCCACCTTTTAAAATCGACTATTTTAAAATCAGTCAGAGAACCGATTTTAAAAGTAAAAAATGACCGATTTTAAAAGTATTTTTTCTACTAGTGTAAACCTATACACTAACGATGATCCTATTCTATGTAGGGTTTTTCTAACCTCGCTCAAGAGATCGACACTCACCTGCTATACTCAATTGCCAGTGGGATCGGTCAATAACTTTGACACTCTGGTGAGACGATTCACGACGCAGTACGTGACAAGTTGGCCTCATCGCATCACATCACATCTGCCGCCTTGGCCAGCCTCAGACAGGGCGACGATGAACCTTTGAGGACGTTCATGGAGCGCTTTGCCAGCATCTCGGTCAAAATCCGCAACCTGAATCCTGAAGTCACCTTGCACGCCATGCTCATGGCGCTCAAGCCAGGACCTTTCATCGATAGCTTGTGTCGGCGACCTCTCCTGGACATGGACAAACTCCGTGCCCGAGCTGCAGGGAACATTCAGATGGAGGAGCACACTGCTTTTCATGACCAAGTTCGCGAAAAACCACTGGGAAAGCCAGATCATGGCCACAAAGACAAATTAAAGGTCACTAACGATAGCCAATTCAAGAAGGCTACTAGGGCAAACAAAGGAGGGAGGTATGACTTCTACACCCCCCTAAATGTGCCCCGAGTACACATCCTGGAAGAGGCCAAAAACACCAATCTGATCACTCTGCCACCACCTGGGCACAGTCCCAATAGTGCAGAAAAATCCAAGCATTGCTGATACCATAGAAACTATGATCACACAACCGAGGAATGTCGCACACTCAAAGACCGCATCGAGGAACTCGTCCAAGGAGGGCACCTTGGAAAATACGTCCAACGGCAGCAATCTCATAGAAGAGGCTACCACGGACGAGGACGAGGACGAGGCCGAGGTTCTGGGGCTCGCACAGATCAACCCTCCGGATCTCAGCAAAACACCGGCGGAGCAGTGCAGGCCGAGGTAAGTCATGACATAGAAATGACTCCTTTACATGGAGTCATCAATACAATTGCAGGTGGTTTCGCAGGAGGAAGCTCTAGTAGCTCGGCGCGCAAAAGACACTTGCGGAGCATCAACAACATCCATACTGTCACCTCGGTCCCGCACCACAACTCACCACCCATCACCTTCACGGATGACGACTACACTGGCATTTGTCCAAACCAGGACGATCCCATGGTCATCTAGTGGAAGTAGCTAACTGGAAGGTCCACAAGATGTTGATCGACCAGGGAAGCTCGGCTGACGTCCTATACTGGCCGACATTCCTAAGGTTAGACATTCCCCACTCCCTCATTCAACCTCACACAAAGCCCCTAGTCGGTTTTGCAGGAGAGCGAGTCTACACCCGATGGTACATTGACCTGTTAACAACCTTTGGGACTCCTCCCGACTTAAGGAGAATCATGGTCAGATACCTCCTCGTTGAGGCCAACACGTCGTAAAACATCATCATCGACAGGCCGACATTGAACCAGCTGGGAACTATGGTGTCTACCCCGCACCTAATGATGAAATTCCCAGGGACCAATGGGAAGATCATCTCAGTCAGGGCAAATCAGATGATAGCCTGACAATGCTATACCGAAATCCTGAAGGTCTCGCCATCAGAAGAATGCCACCGAGGTGACCCCCCTACGGTAGCTCACATAGCCCAGGTTTAAATCACTGACCTGGACCCAAGGTCGGAATCCCATGACGAACGGCCAAGTCCCATCGACGAGCTCGACGACCTTCAAGTTGAAAAACTCCCTAGACAGTGTAGGAAGATAAGCCGACAGCTAAACCCAGAGTTGCGGCAACGGATCATAGAAGAGATCTCCAAAAATACCAACCTATTCGCATGGTCAAGCACCGATATGCCAGGTATTGATCCTAACCTCATCTGTCACAGGTTAGCCATCCACAAGGAAGCTAAGCCGACTGCTCAGAGAAAGAGAAAAGTCGGAGGGGAAAGACGCGATGCCATCATCACTGAGACACAGAAGTTGTTGAATGCGGGCTTCATCCGCGAAGTCAGATACACCACGTGGCTGGCGAACGTGGTACTAGTCAAAAAGAACTCGGGGAAGTGGCGTATGTGTGTCGACTATACCGACCTCAACAAAGCATGTCCCAAAGACTCATACCCCCTACTGAGCATCGATAGATTGGTTGACGGCGCCTCCGGCCACGCCCTCCTTAGCTTCCTCGACGCATATTCCAGGTACAATCAGATCATGATGTATCCACCAAATGAGGAGCACACAGCCTTCATCACCGATCACGCCAACTTCTGCTATCGCGTGATGCCTTTCAGCCTCAAAAATGCTAGATCCACTTACTAGCGTTTGAGGGATAAAGTCTTCCAACACCAAATTGGGAGAAATATAGAGGTGCATGTAGGCAACATGGTTGTCAAGACATTGTCAGTCGAGGCTCATGCCGCCGACCTGACCGAGGTGTTCAGCCAAATCCGGAAACACAACATGCGCCTGAACCCAGAGAAGTGCATTTTCGGCATCCAGAGAGGAAAATTTCTTAGCTTTATGATCACCAGCAGGGGAATAGAAGCCAACTCGGAGAAATGCAAAGCCATCATACAGATGCAAAGTCCCTAGACCCTCAAGGACATCCAACACTTGGAAGGAAGGTTAGTCTCTCTTTCTCACTTCATCCCCAGGTTGGCAAAGAAAGAAGGGCCCATCTTCACCATACTACGAAAGCCAAGGAACTTCGAATGGACTGACCAATGCGAAGAAGCTTTCAAGAGCTTCAAAGTTTTCCTCACCACCCCACCAATCCTTCAGAGGCCGGATCATCACTCCGACCTCCTCCTCTATTTGGCCGTGGTAGAAGGTGCAATCAGCGCGGTAATAGTACAAGAGCACCACAAAATGCAAACGCCCATTTACTTCATGAGCCGAGTCCTTCAAGACACGAAGAAGCGATATCAAATGATCGAGAAGCTGGCATTAGCACTCGTCACCGCAGCTCGGTGGCTCCGACCTTACTTCCAAAGTCACCAGGTGGTCGTGAAAACTGACTACCTGATTAAGCAGATACTGAGAAAACCAGAACTCACCGGACGCATAATAGCATGGTCAGTAGAGCTATCCGAATTTGACATATCCAATATGAAAGGCGAGGCCCCTTGAAAGCTTAATGCTTAGCAGACTTTGTGGCTGAACTCATAGCACACATTATCATCATCTCACATATCATCATTCATTAACGTCTCAAATGTTGCACACAACATTGTCCAGTCAAACATCAACATTTCATACCACATCATGCACAACCATCTCATATCACATATAGGCATAAAGTCTCAAGTACAAATTCTTACAAGCATAATTTTAACTCTTCATCATAGCATACTCATACTCGTTCACAAATATCTCCTCCCAAACTTTTTCTTTATTAACTTGATATTAGTATTTCAAACCATTCTCAAGATTAAGCCATTAAAGGATAAAATAACTCACCATTATTACTCACAAAATATTTATTCCTATCTTAAGCTTCTATGACAATACATGGTCTAAACACGATATTTTGAGTATGTTTATGATATGAAGTTGATCTAAATTTTATTGGAAAGGTAAGACAATTATCTAGAACTTCTATGTTGAGTTCAAGAGTTAATTTTATTATCTATTATTTTTAAAAATTACAAATTTGTAATGTTTAAGCCTAAATCCAACATCTCTTGACATTTGCTCACTAATTTGATCATATATTGAGTGTTAGACCTTTTTTTTGGGTGATTTTAATGTCATTGGAAAGCTAGCATCCAAGGCTACAACCTTTATGAATATCATTAAACTTAATTTGGTTATTTAGGTATCTTCAAAAGGCTTACAAGATACAGATATTACTTTTTGTGCTCTAAAAGTGAAGCTCATTTTCTAATTAACTCGCATATCTTGATCAATTTTTAACATTGTTTTGTGTGATTCTTGAGTCTAAAATATAGTCCGAAATGTCTACTTTTTATCCCAACAAATATAACTCTATTTGGTTAATAACAAAGAGAAATTATCTAATTACTAATGAATATTTATACGAATTTTTTTTATATAACAAAGCACAACTTTCACCATCAAACAAATTACTAACAACTATTAAATATTAATAAAATAGGTTCAATCAACTTTTAATATGTTTTAAACAAAATAAGAAGAAAAAAATATGCTTCCATAACATATTCAAACACATAACATTCAAATCTTTAAAAATCATCAATTTTTAAATAAAATCCTAACCCTCAAATAGCCAAACATATGACATGTGGTAAACTTACATCGTTGTTCATGAAAATCATCATCATTCACCATCATACAACCACAACAATATATCCATGTCAATACTTATATTATCAAATGTATACCAAAATACATCCTAAAGATGCTTAGAGATCATCTCACTACCCATACCCTTCATATGCACCCGCAAAATAAGACAATCTCACTCCCTCTCTTACCTCAAATTATGATCTCCAAGGCACAAACACAACTCCTCATCATCTTAATTTGTAGCTACACCATATATGCAATCCCTCATCGTCTTTGTAGCTGCATTACCACGCTCATTAGGTTTCTCTTTTAGGGTTTCTTCTGCATACGATCATAGAGTTTAGAACTAAGGTGAAATCTGAGCTAACCCTCTTCCTTTCACTTTTAATAAGACTTCAGATTAGGCTCAAGAGTCCAAACTCAAAACTCCTCTCCAATCCACCATTTATCTCTATTTTATTTAATTTAATGGCATAGAATATAAATATTATTTAACAATTTTATTTTATTTATTTTGAAAAACAAGGTATTACAAAAATTGGTAACGAAATAGAAGAGAAAAAAATTGCATGTTTACAAATATTGTATGATATGATTACTTAATATCATTTTTATTCGGATCTTATTAAAATTCAAAATAAATTTTTTAAGTAGTTTTTGGAAAATATATTTTATTTAAAAATTAGAAATCAGTTTTAATTTTCAAAAATGTTAATTATAAAAAAAATATATTATAACTAATGTTGGTAATTAATTCATAATAGGATTATTTATTTCATTTATAATACCAATAAAGACAGATTTAGTTGAAAAATTACTATATATTGAGACGAAACTCCCAATCTTTTGAGAATTTGACACGTTTCATTTGAATTTCTGTGAATTTTACACTCTCATCTAAATCTATTTGTGAATTTGTTTTATACATATATATATATATATATATATATATATAGGGAGCATATCAAGTGAGATGAAATTTATTATGAGAGAGGAGAGGGTTAAAATATAACCCTTA